AATCCAGGGTAACCTCTCCATCTCAAGATAATTAACTTGGTCACATCTTCAGCATCTCTTTTTGCTGGATAAGATAACATAGTCCCAGGTTCCAGGGATTAGGACGTGATCATCTTTTGGGTGGGACAGTAGCATTATGCTATTACATCACCTCCCAGGCCTCCTTGGTCCTTCCCAGACAGAGGTAGATAGGAGGCCTTGGCAGTATAGGATGGGTTGAGCAGGGTGTTGGAGGGAGGTCTGGACTAAAAGCATCCAGTTTGTTTCTGTCTGCACTTTAAATCCCAACTCAGTCACTTATCAGCTCTAGACAATTGCATATTGCTTCTAAGCCTCAATATTCCCATCTGTGAAAGGGAGATGAAATTCACAGCCACGGCTCAATTAAAAATCCCCATTCTGGCATTTGCTTGCATTTACTTTGGGCAGTCAGGATAACTTTTTAATTTCCTTGTTGAAATAGCACTAATGATCATGGCTGATACGCTACGTGTGTGTATACTCTGTAGTGTTTGTATTAATGGGATAATATAGGTCAAGGGTCTGTTTGACAGTAGTGCTTGGCACATGGTAACAACAGACAGCAGATCTACTATTATTTTTCTTCTTTCTTTTCTTTTTTATTATTATTATTATACTTTAAGTTCTAGGGTACATGTGCACAACGTGCAGGTTTGTTACATATGTATACATGTGTCATGTTGGTGTGCTGCACCCGTTAACTTGTCATTTACATTAGGTATATCTCCTAATGCTATCCCTCCCCCCTTCTTTTCTTTTTTCTTTTCTTTCTTTCTTTCTTCTTCTTTTTTTTTCTTTCAGAGTTTCGTTCTTGTTGCCCAGGCTGGAGTGCAATGGCACAACCTTGGCTCACTGCAGCCTCAGCCTCCCAGGTTCAAGTGATTCTCCTGCCTCAGCCTCCTGAGTAGCTGGGATTACAGGTGCCTGCCATAAACGAAAATAATTGTTTTTGTATATTTAGTAGATACAGGGTTTTACCGTGTTGGCCAGGCTGGTCTCGAACTCCTGACCTCAGGTGATCCTCCCACCTTGGCCTCCCAAAGTATTGTGATTACAGGTGTGAGTCACCGCACCCAGCCATATTTTTCTTATATCTTATTTTCTTCTTTCTTCTCCTCCTCTTCCTTTCCTTCACTGTCACCCATTTTTCCCTGTATCTCTGTGGATATCCTCACGTATTTTTCCCGTGCCTAGCTCCTCCGTCAGGGAGCTTTCAAATTCACCAGGTCAGAGACTGATTTTTCATCAAGCAGCTCTGTGCGGTGTGGATGCTTTGTTAATGTTGGTTTCTTCTGTTGGGCCTTCTGTTTGTCCCTCTGACTGCTAAGGTGATTCCAAAGACCAGGGCTCCTGGCTTTTCCCTCTTCTGTGCAAAGCCCCTTCTGGGCAGATGCCTTTCTCAGAAGACATCAATAGCTAGACCTGTGCAAGGGGAGAAGAAACTTCCCTCCTTCCGCCTCTTTCTTTCTGTGCACTAGAAATGAAAATATCTACGGAGAAATGTCTGTTATTCTACTCCTGAGACCGTAGGCACCAGGGATGCACACAATTCTGCCCCTGTGTCTGCATGACTTGTTATCAGAAAATTAGAGAAGAAAAGAAGCTTTTGTTCAGCTATGGAGACATCTTAATAGGTGCCTTGATTGTTAAACAGAAGTTTCTGTTTTGGTTTAATTGCTGTAAATGTTGTTTGTCTTCTCTGCTATGATAAGCCCTGGATTTTCATATATTTTTTCCCCTTCCCTTTCAACAGTTTTCCGTTGCTTTAAGGCTTGCATTGGCAAGTTTAATAAAATTCAAATGAAGAAAGCAAAGAAAGGATCTCAAAGTTCAAATCTTCACGCCCACGTAGGAAGCCGCATGGAGGTTATTATTGCATGAGACTAATGATGCTGCAGCCGCTTAATGTAATTGACAGAATTCACCCCTTCAACCAGATATTGGGAAATGAGACCAAACTACTAAACTTAATTACATCTAGTTTTTGAAAAGGAGCTATAATTGAGAATAACTGAATATTAGGCTGTGAACCTAATAGTGAGATGTGCTTATAATAAAAGAGGATTTGTTCTCTGCCGAGTTGAGCCTCAGAAGCACCACCTGGGGGATTTTTGGTGGAGGGGTGGGGGTAGTAAGGGAAGAAGTTGGCTAGAGAAACAGAGAAACATCTAGATCAGGAATTCTCTACCTTGGTGCTATTGACATTTTGGGCTGTTTAATTCTTTATAATGGGAGTCTGCCCTGTGCATTATAAGATGTTAAACAGTATCCCTGCTGTCTCTCCACCAAATGCTGGTCACACACACACACACACACACACACACACACACCCATATACACATACACACACACAGAGTGTGAAAACCAAAAATGTCCCCAGACATTGCCAGATATCCCCTAGGGGGAAAAAGCACTCCTCTGGTTGAGAACGGGGGTGCAGGGGCTCCTGGAAGACTTTCAAACAATTGCAGAGTTCCTCATTGAGCATCTGCAGATACCTGACTGTGTGGCCTTTAGCAAGTCACTGCATTTCTCTGAGATCCTTTTGTCTTCCTTTGCACAATGGGAATAATGATAGCCTGACTGCACAGAGGAATAGCTTCCAGGTATAACATGCATAGCATAATGCCTAGCACCTATTGAGTAATCAGTAAACTCGGAGTTTTTATTATAATAATCTTGGATTCAGCAAACATGTATTAAGTACTTTGCTTCAGGCACTATGCTTTGAGATGATGATGGAAAGCTGAGATGTGGTTCCTGCTCTTGCAGAGGTGGAAAATGTAGGCGGACCTGTTGGTACAATCTTATTCTTCACCCGTGGCAGACATTGCTAATCAATTTCAGTGCCCTTTCCTGTTGAGCCTCAGAATCCATTTTAACATACTTCTTTGGGCAGCCACTACTAGTGGCCCCAGAAATGAAACCCATTTAGCACTCCTAGTTTTGTAGATTTCCTGGTGAGGACGCTGACCCTTCCTCTCCAGCGCAGTCCTCCCATTCCCACCCACCCCTGGCACTGAAGAAAGCACCTTAGGGAGTTAATGGTGGAATCCCTCCTCCCACATCTGACTTCAGTCCCCAAAAGGGATAGGAACAGAAAAATGCTCTCTTAAAATTTTTTTTTCCTCTTATCTTTTCTATTTCCCTCAGAAATGGAAACAAGTAGTAAAATGGGCTTGAGGTTGATGACATTTAGTTTTTACTTAAACTAAAGGAATCCCACAGGCTGTAATTCTGATTGATACATCATGCTCTCTCCCTCCTAGGTTTTCTCTGCCCTTTGAAGCTTGGGAAATCATTAGCTCTCTCATAAAGGATCCCAGCTTTACAAGGGCAGAACTGGGATTTCTGGAAACAGCTTTCAGATGGCTGCCGACGGTGTCATTAGACAGAATAGAGGAGCAAGTAGGTTGGGGGTTAAATGCTCTGTGATAGGTTCTGACATGCCCGGCTCCCCGAAGAGAGTGCCACTCCATAACAATTGCTGTGAAAAATGAGGCATGCATTTGCAGCTCCAGACACAGGGAGCTGGCTCCATCCATCTGGCCTGAGAAATGAGAACTGGCGTGTAGGGTCAGGCACTTGCTGCTTCTCTCCCTGTCTGGTGGAGATTCCACAGGCAACACTGGTTACTTGTTGCCATTGTTTTACAGCTCTCTGGGGCCTGCAGGCTCTGCCAGAAGGACGGTGTGGGCAATGGGGAGTAGGGCGGAGGTGGGACCTGGTGCACAGGGTCTGTGGGAGAACCAGAACTCAGTCTGTAATGGAGTGATAGTACAGTTCGTTGAGATTTAGCCTAAGGGATGAAAGAAAAGACCAGATGGGGACAGGCATCTCATCTGAAGTTTGATTTTGTTTTGTTTCTTCCTCATTCCCATTCATCATGCATCCACCCACCCACCCACCTGTCTATCCACTCACTTATCCATCTTTCCATTCACCCGTCCGTCCGTCCATCCATCCATCCATCCATGCATCCACCCACCCACCCACCTGTCTATCCACTCACTTATCCATCTTTCCATTCACCCGTCCGTCCGTCCATCCATCCATCCATCCATGCATCCACCCACCCACCCACCCATCTATCCATCTATTCATCCATCCACCCACTTACTCACCCACTTATCCATCCATTCATCCACTCACCCACCCACCTATCCATCCATCCATCCACTCACCCACCTGCCTATCCATCCATCCTATCCATCCTACCCATCTATTCACTCTTCCATCCACCTACTTACTCTTGCATAACTTTAGGTGGTGCATGGTTGGACATTATTAAAATAATTATCTATAATGTACAGAAATTGATATGGCTTTCCACATAGGGTTTGCTTTTAAAATAAGTGTATTTAGCCAAAAATATTGGAGTCAGCCTAAAATGTTAAATAAATAACTTGGCAGTTGTACAGAGGCATGGCAGAAATGAGAAAAGCATCACGTGCCTGGCTGTCACTGGGAATCCACTGCACTCTAACTTTCATGCAAAGGCATGTGTTCATTTCAGTTTCCTCGAACCCGAAATCACAGCTGCTGTGCAGCCTCTAAGGTATATGACCTAGAGCAAGCGACTTCCCCTCTCCAAGCCTTAGTTTTTTCTTCTGTAAGGTGAAGATGCTAGCAACCCCTATTCTTGGGGTCGTTTGGAGAATGTAGCAAGCTAAGGCATGTGAATCACTTAGCACATGCCTGGCACACACCAAGCACTCCGTAAATGGAAGTGATGCTCGCTTTTATTCATTCCACAGCTGGCTTCATTTAAGGCATCCCCTGGCAGCCCTGCCCAGGGGACCTTGCGTGAGTTGAGGTGACAAGCTAAACCAGTGTTCCACTTGGCTTTGGTTTAGCAAGTGATGGCAACTGGTGTCCTTCCTGAGGGTGACGAGCCCCCCCTTTTCCTTCCAGGGCTTGCCAGAGCCCACCCCAGTCTCTGACCCTTTGTGTAACAGGCTGTTCTCTTTTCTCTGTAGACACACTGTCTGTGCCACGTTGGTCCCCGCAGATCCCTCGCAGAGATCTCGGCAACTCCATCAAGCACAGGTAGGCTGGATTCCTGTGTGCACTGGTGCCTACTTCACAGCCCTGTGAGGGGTGGGGGCTCTGGCCCCTGCCCTGGGGTGAGAGAAGGCTGGGCTATTGAACTCCAGCACCTACATCTCCATGTCCCTTTCTCCTCTGCTAGGTTAAACTTTAAAGTGGCAACCAGGGGACTGAGACATCTGCTTCTTACTAATCTGACCCTTATAAAATTAGCACATAGCAGTTAAAAGCCAGGGCTTTGGAGTCAGACTGACCCATGTTCCAATCCCAGCTCCTATAGCTTTGCAACCTTGGAAGTTACTTAACCTTTCTGAGGCTCAATTTTTTCCTTAGATAATTCTGCCTACCTATAGGGTGACTGTACAGATTAAATGAGATAATATATGTAAAGTGCTTAGCACAGATCCTGGCACATAACAAACACTTAATAAACAGTATCATTCTTAAGATTAATGCTTTATGTCCTAATTTTTGGTCTCCTCACCCAGAATACACAAGATTGCAGGTGTCCATTCTCTGGTGTGGTGGAGGTCGGTCCAGAGCTCTAGCCCTGCTGGGTGCATGGAACAGGTGGTCCTCTCCAGGGCTATACCTGCCCTTTTGGGGAGGGGGGTTTGCATATACCAGGCATCCCTTATAAGAAGTCCTTTAACTCCCTGAATTTAGCATTCCCCACTTCGTCTTGGTAGTTCCAGTCTCCTCACAAACTTAGCAGGGTGAGTGGGGCAAGTGTGCTCATGGCCATTGGACAGATAGGCAAACTGAGGCCCTGGGAGATTAAGCGATAGGTCGAAAAGCTAATTAGCCTCAGTACTTTGTGTTCTTTTGACACCCTGCTGAGTTTTCCTAGCACCAGGGCCTCTGTGAACTCGCTGGGGGATCCGTTCACTCATTCATGGATTCTTTCCACTTGTATTTACAGAGTTTCTGTGCCACAGTTACAGCCCTGACCAAGACATAAGGCCTGTTCCCTTGGGGAGCTTGTGCTCTAGGGGAGGGTCAGATAGTTAACAGACCACGACAGTATGGAGAGATCAGGGTGACAAGGTAGGGTGATAGCAGGGCCAGATGCATCACCATAGCTGGGGCCATGGCGGAGATGAGCATTCTCATGATGGGGACTCACGGAATGGCATCTCGTCAACAGTTTTTGAAAGAAGTGTGTTGACAGGATAGTTGTTAAGACTTAAATGAGAAAACTTTGGAGGAAGCAGTGAGAAGTGTGTGATAGACACGTCAATGGTCAGGCCTTGAGCTGCAGAGAGAAGGGCATCAAAGACGAGGGCTTTTCTTTGTATTTTCCTCCTCACTGCTCTCTGGCTCTGCTCCACCCCTGGATTGGCCACGCCCCTTGATCGACCATGCTCCCTGGACTGGCCCTGCCCCTGGCTCATCCCCAGTTTTGAATTGGCTACGCCCCTGGCTCAGCCACGCCCTTGGCTCGGCCACACCCCTGGGTCAGCCACTCCTCTGGCTCAGCTCGGCTCCTGGATTGGCCATGCCCCTGGCTCAGCCCCACCCCTTAGATCGCCCAGCCCCCAGGCTCTCTGGTAGTCCCTAAGATTCAAAAGCTGATGCCCAGAGGAGGGAGACAACCTGTTAATTGTAGGAATGTCTTCCCAGAGGAGCTGAGACTTGGGATGACCTACTACTCTTCAGTCTCTCCCTGTGTTTCTCCCTGGGCTTAATGCCAGGAGGTAGAGAGAACTGGACTCACCCCAGCCTTGGTGAAGAAATGAAATTAAAATCCCATCTGCTGCCATCCAAGTCACTTCAGCCAGAGCTGGGGAAGAGGCAGAGCTGATCCCAAGCACAAGAGAGAGCTGGAAAGGAGAAAAAACTGTCACCCACTGCTTCTGACGCCTGCCCGCCATTCCTGTGTGGCTGGCTGATGAGCGAAATACACGCTCCTTCGCCGCCATTCCCCGGAGCTGCCAAATTCTGCAAAACAGGGTCTGCTAAACTCACTGGCTCTGCTGAAGGGAAAGAAAGGGGCTTGACCAACTCACAAATCCAAAACCAGAGAGGGAGAGTTTTCTTGGCAGTAAGCGTCTTTGCTCAGAATATTGCTGTTTGCTTAGATTTGGAGGCTTTGGGCTGTGGCTTATTTTGTTTGGAGAGTGACTGACCCAAATCAGGCAAAACGGTCCAACAGAGGGATGCAACCTTTCCCTCGAAATTCTCCGACTCCAAGTTATATAATCACTTCCGATTTCCCTTTTGACACTCTGAGGCAGTGGAGATTAGATACAACTCCTGCTGACGGTGACACACATTGAAAATTAAAATTAACTGTGACCTGGCAACCTTCAGTACTTTTCTTGGGCCCAGTCCTGCCGCTGCCTCATATCTCTTGGGGAAGAAAGCACCCTGGCAATATCGAGGGGAGATGTGCCCGGGGAGTTAATCGAATGCACCTCTGCTCCAGTTGGTTTATCGCTGCACACGGGAGACCTCCAAACTGCCCATGTTTGCAGCAAGTGGATGGGGTTGGAGAGCAAGGTGAGCTGATGGTCTGAAATGGCTTTCACTTTCAAAGACTCTTCTCTGCCACTGAAGTTTGGGTTCTCAGGTCTTTCGGGAGGGGAGGGCTCCCTTTGATACTCCCCAGGTGGTGTGACCAGCAACTGATGGGAGATGGTTCAGCGGGTCCCCCAGGAGGCTCCACCTTGCTCTGTAGCTTTCTGCAGGCAGTTCCAGCCCTATCCATTGCTCTGTCCCAGAACTGACCTTGGCATATAGTAGGCCACCAGGCAATATTTGTTGAACAAATGAATGACCCTTATGAATGTTCAAGGTAGTAGTATAGTCACAACCCAATTTACTGAGTGCTTACTATGTACCAGGCACTGCACAGAGCCCTTGACATGCCTGACTGACCTCATTTAATCTCCCCAGTAACCTACGAGGTCAATACTGTTATTATCTGGAGTTTACAGATGGGGAAACAGAGGTTCCAGTGGTTTAAGCAACTTGATTAAGTCACACAGCTCGGAAGAAACAGGACTGGAATCCAGGGTTCATGTGCTTGCTCTTCAAGTGCTTCATCCCTCTAGAGATAGGTCAGTTGCCGTTTCCTTAACCTTGAACATTTTCTGTCTCTTTTCCACAGGTTTTCCACCAAGTACTGGATGTCTCAGACATGCACAGTCTGTGGGAAAGGGATGCTTTTTGGCCTCAAGTGTAAAAACTGCAAGTAAGTGACTGTGCCCTGCGGTGACTTTTTCCAGCACCCAATGTCAGCTAGAACTATGCAGGTCACTGAAACAGCCTTTGGGAGTTTAATTTCTTCACTCTTGGGAGAGTTGTTTGCTTTGTTTTTCAGAAATAGATTTGAAATGCACCTCTACATTTCGGTAGGGGGTCAAGGGAGGGCAATTCTGAATAAGAACCAGAGCTGATGGAAGATGCTGGAAATGCCTAATGCTGTGTGCTGAGGCACAGTGGTACTTCTCGTTTTCATAGCATCTAAGGCCAGGGGTTGGCACACTTTCTCAAATTGACCAGATAGCAAATATTTTAGGCTTTGCAGACCATAAGCAGCCGTAAACAATACAGAAACAGAAACAGTCTTGACAACTTCATTTATTCCAATAAAACTTTATTTGCAAAAACAGACTGCAGGCTGGCTGTGGCCCTCAGCTGTAATTTGCTGATCCTGAGTTAGAATTTGCCAAATCCTTTTCTCTCTCTCTGTCTCTTTTTTTTTTTTTTTTTTTTTTTTTTTTTTTGAGATGGAGTCTTGCTCTGTCACCCAGGGTGGAGGGCAGTGATGTGATCTTGGCTCACTGCAATCTGCGCCTCCCGGGTTCAACCAATTCTCCTGCCTCAGTCTCCTGAGTAGCTGGAACTACAGGCCTGTGCCACCATGTTGGCTTTTTTTTGTTTGTTTGTAATTTTAGTAGAGACAGGGTTTTACCATGTTGGCCAGGCTGCTCTTGAACTCCTGACCTCAAGTGATCCTCCCTCGTCAGGCTCCCAAAGTGTTGGGATTGCAGGCGGGAGCCACTGCGCCTGGCTCCCAAGTCTGTCTCTGCTTTTTCTTTCTCCTCATGGTACCTTTTTGAACCAGCATTGTAATTCTCCCCATTTTACAGATGTGAAGGCTGAGTCTAGCAATGAAAAGTCACTGTGAAGAAGTGACAGTCCGGACCTGAACCCAGATCCCTAACTCCTTTTCTGCTCACTTTCTGTAGTATCATATTGGTCTGGAATTTTGATGAGAAAGCCAGACCACCCAGGTGGTCTTTCTCTTCCTCAGCTTCCTTTCTCTTCTTCACCCCCATTCAAGGTTGTGGCTGGCAAAAGGTAGGGAGGAAGAAGAAAACTGAGACACCAGATATGGGCTCTGGTTTCAAATCCTGGCGCTGCCACTTGGCAGCTGCCTGACCTTGGGCAAGTCACTTCACATTTCTGTCCCTAGTATTTTCATCTGTGTGAAAGGAATAGGCTGGGCGCGGTGGCTCAAGCCTGTAATCCCAGCACTTTGGGAGGCCGAGATGGGTGGATCACGAGGTCAGGAGATCGAGACCATCCTGGATAACACGGTGAAACCCCGTCTCTACTAAGAAATACAAAAAACTAGCCGGGCGAGGTGGCGGGCGCCTGTAGTCCCAGCTACTCGGGAGGCTGAGGCCGGAGAATGGCGTGAACCTGGGAGGCGGAGCTTGCAGTGAGCTGAGATCCGGCCACTGCACTCCAGCCTGGGCTACAGAGCGAGATTCCGTCTCAAAAAAAAAAAAAAAAAAAAAAAAAAAAGAAAGGAATAATAATTGATATGATTTGGCTGTGTCACCACCAAAATCTCATCTTGAATGGTAGCTCCCACGATTCCCACATGTTATGGGAGGGACTTGGTGGGAGATAATTGAATCATGGGGGCGGTTTCCCCCGTACTATCCTTGTGGCATGAATAAGTCTCATGGGATCTGATGGTTTTACAAGGGGAAACCCCTTTTGCTTGTTTTTTCTCATTCTCTCTTGCCACTGCCATGTAAGAAGTGTCTTTTGCCTTCCACCATGATTGTGAGGCCTCCCTGGCCACGTGGAACTGAGAGTCCATTCAACCTCCTTTTCTTTATAAATTACCCAGTCATGGGTAAGTCTTTATCAGCAGCATAAAAACAGACTAATATAATTATCATGCCTGCCTTGGGTGGCAATGAGCTTTTGATAACTCAGCACACTTGAGGACATAACACAGTGCCTGGCTTAGTCCAGTCCTTTGTAAGAAATTGCAATGCTTTGCTGTCGGGCCTCAATCTCTCCCTCTCTCTCCTTCTGTAAACACGTATTACATACCCCTTCAGGTCCAACACTATAAAATAGTCAGTAACAGTCAACTTTATGTAATAATTACAAATGAACGTGCATCTGTTTGCTTTGTAGAAGTCATTTAGTTTAAAAGATTCTGAGAATTCCTCTTTCTGCTCTAGGCTTGCTCTTCCTTGTCTAGTCCAGGCAGAGGCCTCTCATTTAGGCCCTTTCAGGCCTCCCCACATCCCTGCCCCAAGATAGAAGTGAGATAGTGGCAAGGGCAAGCTCTGACTCTCCCTACTCTGCCCCACCCCTGTCCATACCCTCCACCTGGCAGTCTCACCTGAGTAATGAAGGTAAGGTTGAGCATCCTTTCCTCCTGGAGTCGTGGGGAGCCTTAAGCCCCATGGTATAAAGGGAAGCACAGGCCAGATGCAGAGTCTTATGCCTGTAATTCCAGCACTTTGGGAGGCTGAGGCAGGAGGATCAGTTGAGCCCAAGAATTTGAGACCAGCTTTGGCAACATAGTGAGACCCCCATCCACACACACACAAAAAAAAAAAAAATAAAAAAAAAAAATTAGTCAGGCATGATGGTACATGCCTGTTGTCCTAGCCACTCTGGAGACTGAGGCAGGAAGATTACTTGAGGACAGGAGTTCAAGACCAGCCTGGGCAACAGAACTAGACCCTGTCTCTACAAAATAAATTAAGGTAAAAAATTAGCCAGGAGTGATGGCACATATTTGTGGTCCTAGCTACTTGGCTGGGGCAGGAGGATCACTTGAGCCTAGGAGCTTGAGGTTGCAATGAGCTGTGATTGCACCACTGCACTCTAGACTAGGCAACAGAGAAAGACCCTGTCTCAAACAAAACAAAACAAAAAAAAAAAACAAAAAAAATTTAAGGGAAAGCAGGGGCAATAATGACCAAATATTAGTACTTCAAGGCCACCTTCCTTGCCTTGGTCCTCTGTGAACCTAGGCTCTCAGTGGTCTTTCTGACAACAAAAGGCATAAGGCTAGGCCTTTAGGTCTGGTCCCTGGGCTGGCTGATTTTCTCCGTATACCAGCAGCTCCAAAGACCCGTCTCATCTGTATCTAGACCTACCACGTTCCGCAGAGGTGATGGCAACTCTTACATCCTCATACCTGCCGTGTGGAGGCTTCGAAGTCGGGTAATTAGGTGACAGGGTTGCAGCTGGGGTAGCGAGGCTGAACACTTCCCAAGCCGTTTTCATTTTCAGCACTAGACGCAGAACTTAGAAGTAGCCTTTGCTAGTGCTCTCTGGTCTAAAAATCCTGAGCAAAGCCTTAGACCTTGCCAAGGGTTGGGAGAGGAGGTTGTGGGAAGGATAGGGATGGGATCGGGGGGGCAGGCTGCAAGAACACAGACTTGGAAAGCAGTCAGAACTGAGTTTGAGTCCCAGCTCCATTACTAAACTCTTGCATGAGCTTAAGCAGAGGTGTGCCGTCATGGGGCTCAATGTCTTTCTCTACAACGCAAGTGTGACATTAACACCCACCACAGGGCTGTTGGAAGGAGTCAATGAAATGTCCATGCTCCAGATTGCAATGTTTTATCACATTCTTCTCTATTCCATCTTGTGCAGAAATGACTCCTGGCATATAAGAGGCAAAATTCAAAACCAAAAATTCAAAACATGAAGATCTGACATGCTTCAGGAGTTTTGACATAGTGCTTGCAGAAACTACAACAGAATTGAGAGCAATCTCCAGTACATAATTATGAGCATGCATTGCTAATATCACCAGTTGAAGTTGAGACGTGTTCTACAATAAATTCCTGCAGTTTTCACATTAGTTATAGTGAGGATAGAGGGTTACTTGTATGTGTTTTCAAAGATTGGCAGAATTTTGGATGCACTTATGAGCTGATAGAAGGGTTGGATGAGGGATAGAAATGGGAGATGTACAGACCCCACTGTCAAGGAGTTTAGAGGAGACACACCTATGGAAATTGAATGTCAATAAAATGAGAGTGTACACATAAAGAGTGGTGACAGGTGACATTTCAGAGAGGTGACACCAAGGATGAGGAGGCAGCTTCTTGTAGAAAATGAGTAGAACCATTTGTTCACTTATTCAACTAATACTTTTTGGGCACCTGCTATCGACTGCACAATTGTAGGCACTGGGGAAACGACAGTGAATAAAAGAGACAAAATCCTTCCCTAGTTTCTATGCTGGGGCCTGGGCAGGAGTTGGGCAGACAGTAAACAAAGTAAATTAGTAAATTAGGTCATATGATAAGATGATGCAAAATGCTAAGAAGATGGACAAAGCAGAGAAGGGTCAGGATGGGGGCTGCAACTTCAATTAAAGTGTTCAAGGATGGTCTCATACCTGAGTGAGAACTTTGCAAAAAGAGTAGTGTGTGATCTGGGTCATTTCCTGTCCTCTGAAAGCCCCTCCAGAAGCCTGGATTTGAACCTTCCCTGAAGGGAATTATTTTTTTTTTTTTTTCACTCAGAGCAAATCCAGTTCTGTTACTGCCAGAAACTCCCTGGGTGACAGGGATTGGATTGGCCTCATGCTATTCTGCACATGGTCCCTGGACCAGCACCATGAGCGTCACCTGGCACCTGGCTGGAAATGCACTTCTCGGGGCCCACTCCAGACCTGCCAAATCACAATTTGCATTTAAGATGGTCCTTGATATGGTTTGGCTGTGTCCCCACCCAAATCTCATCTTGAATTGTAGCTCCCATAATTCCCACGTGTTGTGGGAGGGACCCAGTGGGAGATAATTGAATCATGGGGGCCGTCTCCCACATACTGTTCTTGTGGTAGTGAATAAGTCTCAAGAGATCTGATGCTTTTATAAGGGGAAACACCTTTCGCTTGACTTTCATTCTCTCTTGTTGCCACCTTTGGGCTTCCACCATGATTGTGAGGCCTCCCCAGCCACATGGAACTAT